AACTTTACTTTATGGTCCATTCTGTGTGATGTTTTGATGATTCTTGTACTTTGATAGGTACCTTCCTTTTTAGGTTAGAATTTTTTTTTTCTAAGATTTGTTGTTAGTACTTTCCAAGACTTTGATCTAGTATTCTTCCTGTATGCCTAGTATTCTTATGTTTGTCTTTGCACAATGCCCTGGATTTTATGGATATTTTGTCAGGAAGTTTTAGACATAACATTTTCTTTATCTGATGTATCAACTCCTTATATTGTTTCTTGAATGCTTGAGATTTGTCTTTCATCTCTATATTCTGTTGATGAACCTTGCCTCTGTAGTTCCCCTTTGCAGTCCAAAATTTTTATTTCCAGCATTCCCTCAGTTTGTGTTTTCTTCATTGCTTCTATTTTTAGGTCTTGAATAGTTTTGTTTTCTTCAATTCTTGATTTGTTATTTTTCATGGTATTATTTATAGGATTTTTTGGTTTCCTCCACTTTTTTGTGTATATTTTCCTGGCTGTCCTTCCTGCTCTTTCCTTAGGACTGCACACTAGGCAATCAGGAATTTGGAGAAAAAACTGAACTTATGTTAAACCTAATTAATGTAGTTACACTAGTTCAACCAAAATAAGAAATGTGGGTATCAATGATGTGGCACTGTCTAAAAAGACTATTATATTCTAGGTTTAAAATGTTCAGCCTGAGAGAAAATTTATAAGAAATATTTAATTTGCTGTAATACAGGATTCTAGACCCTGGACACATGGCCATAAAGCCTGATTCAACATTTTACAATGATTTTTTCTGATTATAATTACATCATTACCACCATTTTTTCCTGCCTTTGATGATTGCTTAATAAACACACCTAAAGTCTAAAGTTGGGGAGAAGAAAGGTAGTCGGTGCTTCAGTTCCCAGGCTTGGTGTCCAGGGATTAGACCATGAAGGAGAGAAGAGAGGAAGAAGGAAGGCGGTGCCATGGGGTAGGTAGATTGTGAGTGCATGGCGAAGAGGGCTGGTCTGGGAGTATAAGCAGCCTAGACAGAACATGACAAGTGATATCTCACAGTTATTAACAGGAAAGAAGACAAAATAGCATAGAGGGTTGATATCTGCCCAACTCTGATGCTTTAATGCTTACTATAAATACAAAGTCTTTTATTTGATACCTCCTTGATTTAAGTGGGGTAGAGACACCTAAATAATATTTATCACAACAAGATAGCTGTAATTATGGTTTGTGTCCAAGGATTAAAATAGAATGCAAAGTAAGTTGGCAGAGGATACTCAGTAGTCATGGCTCTGGTTGTTTCTTGAAAGTGTCATACTATGCTTTCAGACTCCTCTTCTTTAAAGAAGATTAAAGGGAAAGGTTCTTTCAGTAACCCATTATTAGATATGGAAGTTCAAACGCAGCATCCTGCTCCCTGTGGTGGTGCATGCCTTTAGTCTCAGAACCCAACAGACAAGTCAGGAAGATCACAACACCAAGATCCAGTGCAGCTACCTAATGAATTTGAGGCTAGTCAAAGCTAAATTAAACCCTGTCTTTATTTCATGTAAATATTTTCATCAAAGCCAGTAGAAAAAGTGTCATATGAATACATACATCCATACATATCTCTTTTACTTAATGTTTCTATATGTGGAAAAAAGCATTGGGAAAACAAGTAGAATCAGTAGTAAAATATTAAAATAAATTTCTATGGGAGAAATTAAGTTTAATTTAGCTTTTAGGTTTTCTGTTTTGCATCTATATTTTGTCATTTTCTATATCAAACATGGATTCCTTGTGCAGTTTAATCAAAAGCACAAGCTGTGACAAGTAGTCTACACAACAGGTGTGGCATGGAATGTGTTATAATTTTATTCTAATTCCTATGGATTTAGAGAGAAAGATATGAAATACACATTTGTAGCCTAGCCGCAGAGGTCACACATGGATCTGGAGACTCTATAGTAGAAGAAGGCCAAGAAAATCTCCAGTGCTGGAGGTAAATGACATAATGCCCAAGATGAGGTTTGGTTTTCTCATTAATCAGCAGCAAATCCTGCTTCTGAGCAAGACACTGACTTTGCTTATTGCAAGAAGAGCTTAGTAAAGTGAAAGCAGAGCTTGAGAGCTGGAGTAAGAGCATCTGAATATGACAAATCAGAAGCATGCACAGCAGTTTCCAGTCTAGATGTCACCTGTGTGAACACTGAAGAAAGGAGGCAGCAGAGTCACAAGGTGACTGAATGCCATCCTTACTTGAGAAGATGAACATGTACATCTCTTGGTACATGTTATGTAGTTACTGATCTAACAAATGCCTTTTGTCACTATGTCTCCATTAATATCAGCGGAAGCAGTTTGCTTTATTTGGCATTGCCAGTAGTATTCATTTACAGTTTTGCCCCAAGGATATATTATATTTGCAACTCTGTGTCATAACTTAGTTAGAAGAGACCTTGATCATATGTGTCTTCCATGAAATACAATATTAATACTCTAAAGCGGACATTATATAGAATTGACCTAGGCAGTATGACATGTCAACCAATTTGGACTCATTGGTAACTCATCTGGGCATCAGAAGACAGAAAATAAATCCAACGAAATTAAGTAGTCTTCTAATTTAGTGCATTGCTTAGGAATCTATTGCTGTAGAGTATTCAGAAATATTAATTACAAGGTCAAAGATATGAAATCACACCTGGCCTTTCTTACCACAAAGAAAGAAGCACAACAATTAGTAGGCTTATTGGGATCCTCGAGACAGAACATCCCTCATTTGGGTGTGTTATACCAGCTTATATACCAAGTAGCCCAGAAACCTGCTAGCTTTCTGTTGGGGGCCAGAAACAGGAGAAGGCTCTCTAACAGGACCAGGCTACTGTGTAGGCTGTTCTACTATTTTCAGTGTCTGATAGGAATATTGTTTCGAGCCTTTGGCAGGCTCTTATTATGAAATATAGATTTTGAATATTGGAACAAGGCTCAACCATCAACTCTATCCAAATATTTTCCCTTTTAAAAAGAGATTTTGGCCTTCTAGTCCATCTTAGTAGAAACTGAACAGAGAATAGGACAACAAGTTACCATAAAACCTGAGCTGACCATCATGAGCTGGGTGCCATTTGACCCAACCAGACAGCAGCAGCAACCCAGCGTCCTGAGCATGTCCTGAAGGCACAAGAAAGTTACATAAATAATTTTCCCAGGTGCAGTTTTCTATTCCTGTACCATGCTCTCTGCTGTCATACATGCACCTAAAGAGCTTCCTGGTGTAGGCCGTATCATCAAATGTCTGAGGAAGAGATGACTAGGTCCTGGTTTTACTAAGGGTTCTGCCTGTTATGGAGGCCCAATCAAGAAATGAACAACTTCAGCATGAAGACATGTTTCTGGGATAACCCTGAAAGACACCATTAAAGGGAAATCATCACAGTTCAGAGCTTCATGCAGTAGTCATGCTCATACATTTGTCTGGAAATGTGTGATTATTCACTGAATCATCAGCTGTAAACAGTGGCATGGCTTGACCGTTACAAATGTGGAAAGAAAACAATTAAAAAATTGTTTAGAAAGGCATAAAAGGCAGAAGTATGTGGATAGATCTCTCAAAAATGGCCAAAGTATGTAAAGATATTTATGTCCCATGTAAGTACTGATCAAAAGGTAAGTTCACCTGAGCAAATATTCAGTAATCAAGTAGGTAGGATGATCTATTTTGTGGGAAGTCAGCCATGTCCCCAGCTCTCATTTTCCAATGGGACCATGAACATAGTGGCCATCGTGGATGCAGTGGGTTTTATGCATGGGTACAACAGTAGAGTCCTCTCACCAAACCTGACATGGCCACATCTGCTGGTGTGTGCCAGGTCTAATAGAAGCAGAGACTAACACTGAACCCTACTTATGGAACTATAACCTGGGTTGGCCAGCCAATGACTTGGTGGCAGGTTGACTACATTGGATCATTTCTCTTGGGCAAAGGACAAAGCTTTCTTCTTCCTGGAGTCGATAGGTGTTCTGCTTATGATTTTGAGTTTCATGCACATATTACTTCTGTCAAGTCCACGATCCATGGACATGCTGAGTACCTCATTCACCACAATGGCATTCCACACAGTATTGCTTCTGACCAAGAAACTCATTTCACATCAGAGAAGTGAGACAGTGGGCCAATGATTGTGGATTTTAATGCTATTAATTACCATTAATACCATAGTCCTTGTTATCCTGAAGGTGCTGAACTGATAGCAAAATAGAATAACCTTTAGAAAACATGTTTACACAGCGAATTATGAGACAGCCACCTGGAGAGCTGGGCAGGGTCCTAGGCTGTATGTATTTTGAATCAGCATCCAGTATTTGATATCGTTTCTCTCACAGCCAAGACCCATGATTTCAGGAATCAAGGTTTTGGAAAACCTGTGTGAAGGGCTCAGTCCACAAGTCTCAATGGAACTCAGCTCAAAATGCAGGGCTCCCTTTATCAGCAGGGATTCCATTTCTCTGCCTGACTTTGTCTGGATCCTGAACACAGCAGCTATCCTTATCTAATAATGTCCTTCTGCAGAGCTGCTTAAACTCAGCACACAAGTCACATTCTGGATTCCCTGTGCACATGAAGCACATGTACCTGCTGCGATATAAGAAAAGACAGTTGAAGTTCAAGGGGGTGAGATAGGATACCTGAATAATTCTATAAATCTGTGAATTTGATGGCAGAAGCTCCTGCAACACATTTAAATCAGAAAGCATGCATGGTTAGTGTAATGAAGGATACAGTCTATTAGTGAGAAGTACTCTTTGATAATGAGATGGTGTTCTATATTTTGTAAATATAGCTTTTAGTTTTGGCCTCAGTATTTAATAAGATTGTTCAGTTTTCCTCAGCTGTATATAGACCCTGTATGCTGAAGTATTCCATGGTCTTTTCTTTCATCTGGGTGGGATATTGAAATACATCTATATATGACAAAGAGAATCAGGAATTAGAATTTATTTTCTTTTTTTTTTATGTTTGTTAACATTACGATTCTTTATTATTTTATCTTTATACCCTCAAATGTTACCAGAGTTCCCAGTTTTTGACAAACATTTGATCAGATCAAATTAGTGAAGGAGAGGCCCATTCGCTTCTCTAAGGCACATTTGCATGCAACAGTCTGTCTCTGGTCAGCGTGACGATTTAAACACAGCCTTGCCTACCGCACGATGTCAGGCAGGCTGGGCTTAAACAGGACTCTGGGAGTGAGGTGTGCATCGGCAAAGAGGAAGCCTCAGGGACTGATTCAGCCTCAGTATTCTGCGTCATAGGGATATTCTTCCATGTTTACTGTCTCAGGCAGCAGGCAGGCCCTCCAGTTTCTGTTGAAGCTAAGGATAGTGGCCATCTCCTTGTCACTCAACTGGAAGTCAAAGACCTGAATGTTCTCCTGTATACGCGCTGGCGTCACAGACTTCGGGATCACCACCACATTCCTCTGGATGTGGAACCGAATCAGAACCTGGGCTGAGGTTTTCTTATGCTTGGCGGCAATCTCTTTAATTTTGGGGTCCTCAAGTAGTGAAGGGTCCGATGGCTTAGCGTGAGGTCTGTCTGGGGAGCCCAGGGGACTGTAGGCCGTGACAGTGATGCCCTTGGAGTGACAGTACTGGATCAGTTTCTCCTGGGTCAGGTAAGGGTGACATTCGACCTGGTTGGTCACTGGCTTATGTTTCAGTCCAGGCTTGTTCAGGAGTCTTTCAATCTGGAAGTGATTGAAGTTGGAGACACCCAGAGCTTTCACCAGCCCCTGGTCCACCAGTTCCTCCATGCCCTCCCAGGCTTCCAAAAACGTTGTTTTACTGGTGAAGATATTGCCTTGATCATCTTTAGGGAATAACTCCTTTCCCGGCTGAAATCCCTGCGGCCAGTGAACAAGATAGAGGTCCAAATAGTCCAGCTTCAGGTCTGTGAGTGTCTTCTGAAAGGCTTCCTTTAGCTGTTTTTTCTCAAAGCAGGTAGGCCACAACTTGCTGACAATGAAGAGATCCTCCCGCCTCACAGCCTTCTCTTTGATCTTCTCTTGGATGGCCTCTCCCACCTCATTCTCATTCTGATACGCATAGGCACAGTCAATGTGGTGATACCCAGCATCAATGGCTGCCTTCACAGCTTCCTTGACTTGGTTTGGGGGAGACTTCCAGGTACCCAGACCCACAATGGGCATCTTGGTTTTGGTACTGAGCTCCACGAAGGTGGCCATGGTTGCTGCCGAAATCTTTCTGTGTCTAGAATTTATTTTCTTAATAACATTTCACATGATCAAACGATTTTTGAGGACTCTTGTCCCTTCCATTGCTAAAGAGACACACTGCACTTTGAAAGTGGTCACACTTTACATATATGCCTGCTTCAAATTCCACATTTAGCAAAATCATTTTCTGTTTACCTTCTGTTAAGGTCTATGAAAATTTCATATCTATGATATCACTTGATCTTCCGAGGTATATTCTCTCTTAGTAAACGTTACTTGATATCCTTGCTTGGGCTGAGTGTGACTTCCCTTGGAAACTCTGATGGAATCGCCCCTGTATTTTGACTCTCCTCAATTTAGACGGGACACAGGATAGAATGATTTTTTTTAAATAATTTATCTATTTTTTTAAATCATAATTCAAGAATTAATCTTAAATAACAGCCAGTTTGAAATAAAAGTGGCTCTCAAGACAGAGACTTTAATCTCATGTATTTCCCATATGTCTCATAATCTAAGTGCCTTCAATACCTAACTTATTCCTTCAGAATTACCAAAGGCTTTGTATTTTTTTCTTGTCACTTTGGACATTTCATCCTAATCTATATATAACTCCTTCTTTATTGAAACCATTTACATTTTTAGATCATTTTAACATTTTATAAATGTTAATACCATAACATACAATAGGCTTAACAAAAAAATACACAATCTATTGTGAGAATATTTATTCAGGGGTGAAAAATAAGCAACTTATATCCCCTCTTTCTAAGTTCTTAGTGTTAGTATTCTGTCTAAACTCCACCTCCACAGTTACCTGGCAACAGCCAGGTATGCTCCTCCCCACAGTTACCTGGCAGCAGGCAGGTAGGCCTTGCCCACTATAAAGGCTGCTTGCCACCTCCTCTCTCTCTTTATCTCTTGCCTCTAGCTTCTCTATGTCCCCTCCCCCCTCTCCTTCCCCCTCTCTCCACATGGTCATGATCTTCCTCTACTTCTTTCTCTTCTCTTCTCTCTCTCTCTCATTCTCTCTCTCTCTCTCTCTCTCTCTCCCTCTACTACCCTCCTGGCTCCCCTCCCCATGTCCTAAATAAACTCTATTCTATGCTATACCAGTGTGTGGCTGGTCTCTCAGGGGGAAAAGATGCCTTGGCATGGGCCCACTGAGACATCTCCTTCCCCCATACCACTCCACACACCCACCGAACCTACTCTCCTTATCTCTTTATCTTTTTATAAACACATCACTCAGTGGCACCGCATTTCAAAAGTATGATAGTTCACCCTAGGATAACAGTGAAACAATTGGTTTTACTCACAGAAAATTGACAAAGTGTTTCTTATGAGAGTGTAGACATCCTGCAATCAGTCACTTTAAAAATACAGTACTCATTTCATCTGGAGACAAATTTACACTACCTAAATAGTAATTCCCTTCCAAGTTGTACAAATACTGACCAGCATGTCATGTTTTG